CTGAGATCACTAAACTGAAACTTATATACATGGAATACATAGACAGTTTAGCGTAGGTTAATGTCGGTTATATGCTGTATATACTGGTATATATGGAGTAATTTCTGTTCGTTCGTTTCATTGACGGTCCCATCAATGATGGTTTCCAGCTGCTTTATGCAATGGAAACTACCAATGATACTTTACTTTAAATTTCCGTTTCTGGAAACTAACATTGTTGGTTTCCGGTTGTTTCCAGTCGCTGAAACTAACCTTGGAAATTTAAATGTGTGCATTATATAAAATTTTTTTTTACCTGTCTTCGAAAGACAGTAAAATAACTAGTCTATCACAAATGTACAATAAAAACATATAACCATAAACACTTTAACAGTACAGTATAAAAATGGGCTATTTCTTTTCCTCCCTGCATGAACCCAAGCTGGATACTGTATATAGAAATTATTTTACAAGTGTAACAGTAAATTAATATAGCCCCCAATGGAACAACACAAAGCTAAGTTTGCCATTTCATCTAAGCTGAAATCAACAGAATTGTTAGTTTCCGGGTACAGAAACCTAGCTGAAACCTACATTACCCAGTATCCAATAGGTTTCCGCAACAACGGAAACTAAGTCATTTTGCTATGAATCTTTCAGCGACCTGAAACTAAATGGAAACTCATAATGACAGTTTCAGTTGTAGAAATCAGACGGAAACCTAGATTTGTTAGTTTCAGTTTTGTAAACTACGCGGAAACTCACATTGTCTGTTTCCGGATGCTGAAACCTAGCGGAAACGTACATTACCCAGTATCCATTAGGTTTCCGCAAAAGTGGAAACGAAGTTATTTTTGCTGCTGTGTATCGCGACGAGAACAATAGAAGTATTTGAGACAAAATGAAGAAACGGCATGTGGAACATTTAAAACTTAACGGATTTGCTTGAAGTCTTACAATCTCAGAAACGGTCGACTCAGTTCTGTCAAAATACTTGATTCTGAAGATGTCACAACCAAACATACCATCTAAAACAAGAGAACAATTTTCTGATGCAATAAATTACTTAAACAAATACACACTACACACATAAAAATATGTGACTTAGTTTAACTTTGTAAACCTTAATACCACATGACGAACTGGCGGTAAACTTTATTCTTTGGTCCATGGGGCACTTATAAATAAACATGTGAACATAGATATAGTTACATACCTATTTTCAGAGTAAAAAAATTGTCAAAAACTTAAAGCAAACGTCATTTTAAGTTACTGGGAAAACAATATGTGAAACGATGGACGTCCTCGTCGATGACATCAAAGCAAACGTTTCTTGGGGAAATCATTTAGACAAGAAGTAGGCACCCTTTTGGCACCAATTGTGCTCCTATCCTTGTGGATCTGTTTCTTTATGCATTCAAGTGAGAATTTCTGTTCAGGTTTGCAAACTCGCAGCAAGGTAATTTGACAAAAAAAATTGAAGTAAAACGCAAATATTATGTATGGCAACTTCTTATTTATTAGTATGTTACAACGTTTCTGGGCTATTCTTTATCCCTTCGTCAATTCACCTGACGAAAGGGCAAGGAATAGCCCCGAAACATTGTGACATACAAAAAAATATGTATTTGTCATCCAAGATTTTTGCGTTTTACTTGAACACCAACTTCTAAATGCCTTTCATGAACCTAAAAAGAAGTTGAACTTAAGTTTCACGTATATCAATGATCTGTTATCATTCAACAGCAATCAAATAGCCAGTTTCCTCCTGAACCTGAAGTAAGGAAGACCAATGAGACCGCTTCATGTGTTTCATTTTTTAACCCATGCATAAAGATTAAAAAGTGCCCTCACAAGACTGCGCGACACGAGGGATTTCCAATCGTCAACTTTCCCATCAAGTCACACAGCTACAGCCCTTGGTGTTCACAGTTTTGCAGTTTTCGAAGTTCAATCGAGGATGATTTCAAAGAGCGCCATGCGACTCTTGCTCCGAAGTTTTTCGATCAAGGTTATTACTTTCAATGTTTCACTGATGTTGTCAAAGTTTGGTTTTGGTAGGGATGTGGGAAACATCTTCAAGTTCGTTGTATCAGTTGCAAAATGATGTCTGATGCAATTTCGTAATGAGTAGTATCGTTCGTTCCCGTATTTTCTGTTTACATGAATACTTGTCTAACCTTTGCTGTGTTTATAATCTGTGCCTCCTTTCGCAAACAGAGGGTATCATCACTTCTTGGGAGTCAATAATCACTTGCTCATGACATAGTTGGAATTGTCCAGTTGACATTGCTTAAAGCAGAGGTTTACCATGGCTGTGGAAAGGTTTTTGTCGCTTTTACTTGTGATCATTGTTATACAAATGGTGCTGTTGCTTATATGTCCTGGAGACCAATTCTATAAATTCGTTCTTCACGATTGTTAGGTTAGACTATTTCTAATATGGATTCCTCCAAGTGCAGGCCCAGATTACCTAGTGGACGTGGAAGTAGCGCGAATCGTCCCTCACCCTGTATGTAACAAGGCTTCGATCCAGCACGGAATACTGGATCACGTCCGATGGTAACGTAGCGGAAATACAGTGAACGCCTCTGAACGTTTGTATCTGTAGATTTTAAGATCCACTGAAAATAGCGCCTTTACGATAACGCCTTTACGATAACGTATTTTGTCACCTACGAATTATTTCATGATTGAACTTTCGTTTGTCTGTGGAATAGTAGGGTACAAAGGCAAAAGATCAGTTATGCGTGCTTATTTTACTGTGTAAACGTGTAAAGACAAACAGTTCTGTTGATTTCTTGATGATGTTTTGTCTTTTGCAGTAGATAAATATTCATTGCTGTAAAGGTTGTAAGGCTAAACACACACACACACACACACACACACCACCACCACCACGACCACACACACACACCATCACCACCACGACCACGACACACACAGACACACACCACCACCACACCCACACACACACCACCACACACACCACCACCACCACACACACACACACACACGCACACGCACACACGCACACACACGCACACGCACACACAAACGTACATATTATAGTAAAGATGTCGTCGAGTCCCGTACAGATAGACATGTACCAGTTTTGGGGATTTGGGCCACGACTCTCGCCCGACTCTCTAACCCACTGGACACCTCTGCAATCGCTCCCACAGGTCCCAAGAGACTTCCTCCTGTGGGTGTCACGGTAACACCGATCTGGTGATTCAGAGCGGGTGGTATAGGTTCGATTACCTATCTGTTTGAAGGACATAGACTTCACCATTTATAACTAGCTTGTCTCTGGAAAGTTGGGCAGTCTTATTATTCATACGCACTATAATCTTACAAAAATGTTATCTTTCTAACTCTCCCTATTAGCAAATCATGTCCTTTAATTTCTTATCCTCATAGGACAGGAACTTAACAATTGTGGACTTCCTTCACTTCTCAAACGAAGAGTTTGTTCAGTGTCGTCCATACCGAGGTGAAAATCCTTCACAAGCTTCTCAGTCTCCGCCCGAGACAACCCTGATGTACTGGAATCTAACAACAAGAGGGAGGTACTGAAGATCTAACAACAACCCTGAGGTACTGGAATGTAACTGCAAGCTTGGGGTACTGAAAATCTAAAAACAAGCCTGAGCTACTGGAATCACACAATAAGCCTGAGGTACTGGAGTCGAGCAACAAGATGAAGGTACTAAAGATCTAGCAACAATCCTGAGCTAATGGAATAAAAGAAACAAGACAGAGGTACTCTAATCAAACAACAAGCCTGAGGCACTGGAATCAAACAACAAGCCTGAGGTACTGGAATCAAACAATAAGCCTGATGTAATGACGATCTAACAACAAGCCTGAGGTACTGGAATAAAAGAAACAAGACAGAGGTACTGGAATCAAACAACAAGCCTGAGGCACTGGAATCAAACAATAAGCCTAATGTAATGAAGATCTAACAACAAGCCTGAGGTACTGGAATAAAAGAAACAAGACAGAGGTACTAGAATAAAACAACAAGCCTGAGGTACTGGAATCAAAACAAGCCTGAGGTACTGGAATCAAAACAAGCCTGATGTACTGGAATCAAACAACAAGCCTGAGGTACTGGAATCAAACAATAAGCCTGATGTACTAAAGATCTAACAACAAGCCTGAGGTACTGGCATTAAACACCATGCCCGAGGTACTCGCATCTAACACCATGCCTGAGGTACTGGCATCTAACACCATGCCTGAGGTACTGGCATCTAACATCATGCCTGAGGCACTGGCATCTAAAACCATGCTTGGGGTACTGGCATCTAACGCCATGCCCGAGATACTGGCATCTAACAACAAGCCTGAGGTACTGGAATCAAGCAATAAGCCTGAGGTACTGACGATCTAACAATAAGCCTGAGGTACTGGCATCTAACACCATGCCCGAGGTACTGGCATCTAACAACAAGCCTGAGGTACTGGAATCAAACAACAAGCCTGAGGTACTGGAATCAAACAATAAGCCTGAGGTACTGGCATCTAACACCATGCCCGAGGCACTGGCATCTAACAACAAGCCTGAGGTACTGGCATCTAACAACAAGCCTGAGGTACTGGAATCAAACAACAAGCCTGAGGTACTGAAGTTCTAACGAGAGTGGAGCACTATTTGTCGAATGGAGAGCCTGGGTATTAAAAATCTAACGATTAAAGATGCGGTACTACAAGTGTAGTGGTAGATAGTGGTGATTTCATTCTGTCCTGGACTAAAATCGGGATCATTTTGGATTGTGACAAACAGAAAGCGCTAACCAGTTTTTGTAAATTCCTCATGTGACACTGCACGGACCTCTGTAACATCACTTTCCGATGGCTAGATATGTCTTTGATACTGACTCCCTTGGCGCATGTGGAATTCCTCGGATTCATCTGTAAACTCCCGCTGTGTAAGTGTTTATGTTTGGTCAATAGCTTGGTGTATTCAATTTGTTTTGGGCTCTTTATGAAAAATGCATAAAACACACAAAAATATCTTGAACATGTTAAATTTATTCTTCTTGAAATGGTTTGATGCTGATAAACTGGAAGCCTTGCCTCTCCGATGACGTGATCTGAAAACAAAAATGTCATTCAATACAGACTTAAAATATCGCACAGAATACACAATACTGGTTCTTAGATAATCAATACGAGTTCTTAGATAATCAAGACTGAATATTCTCTGTCGAGTGAGTGAATGGCTGAGTGTGTGAGTGAATGAAACCGTGACCTTTCCGCACAACACTAGTTATCAAGACTAAAAACAACGGAGTACGCATTAAATGGAACTATCTCACGATTAAGAAAGGTTTTGATGCATTTAGGGCGTGTGAACTATATACCTTCGTCCTGACAACTCGACTACCAGCATGGATGTGAACATAACATTTGTCTGAAAAGGACTGAATCAGGGTCCCAAGAGCAGCCCGTGGTTACCGTGCACGCTCTGCGACGGTTCTGGGTCATATACCCACTGCAGGTTGCTGAGCACTGGGACACTCCAACCCATATGGTCAACTCGCCAACATCTAAAGCAAAACATGTAATTTATATGTACATATATTATTGAATGTCATCTCTATATTCATACTCTCAAATTCAACCCAAAAGAAATTGAAAACATCTTCTGATGCTGTTCTTTGTACATCGGCATCACTTGTTTTGTTCTCGGCAATGACATCTGGAATCTAAATATGCTCCAACTGCATTTCGCAATTATTGTTTTAACTCATGTTTTTAATAATATCTTATTATTATTCATATTTATAACGATATCAGTATATTTAGTATGTCACAAAACTAGTAACGACGGGGAGACCTTTAAGAGTATTCAACAAGCAAGTTAGTGCTCAGTTCTTTCCACTTTACTATTAACATGTTTGAGATGTTGAAATTCTCGATGGTCGATACGCTTATGGTTAGGACATCGTATGGTTAGGACTCTGTTCTGATAATACCCTGGAGCCCTTTGCCAGCATATTTTACGGTTTGGTCAACATTTCCGTGTCCGTGGTACTGACATCAATTTCTCTCTGGGCAAAAGAAGCGTTTAATAGGATAACTATACACATGGAAAAACGTATCACAACACCTATTATTTTAACCGCCATATAGCCATTTATATTCATATTATCATAATGTTTGTTTTATTACTTTGACACTGAGGGCATTCCATTAATATTAGACATGCACGTATTACAAGCAAAGGCGAGCCTCATGTGCAGGTACACGCCATTAAGCAAATATCGGTTTCAATAAACTGTTCTTACTGATCGATGACTTGTAATATCAATTGATTTCGTTGTTGATAAGCAAATATGGGGGCCTCCCTCAACTGACACTTGCTCAAAGATAGCAGGTTATTGGTATGCGGAACGCTGGCATGAAACTGAAGGCTCTTGCAACAGATGTTGGTCGAAACCATCAGCCAAACTAATGACGTTAATGGCCATCCAAGTTCAGATCGACCACAAGTGACAACTCCAAGGACTTATACAACCCTCTTCAGAATCACAAACCTTCATCTGTTCATGTCAGTTGGCTTTTAAAACAGAGTGGCTCTCGTGATTGTCGCTTAAACATTTGTCCAACAGAAATCGCCTAAAATCTGCCGGGTATAGAGTCAGACTCCCGTTGTTATCCCCTGAGAACAAGCTCCCCTGAAGTCAAGCTCGACGTCACTGGAATTTGACGTCATAGGAAAAGTTATGTGCATGACTGATGACCGAGCTCGTGTTTTTCCGCCCGAAAGACTGCATATGCACAGCGGAATGTCTTGGGGCAAGTGCTTGGGTTCATTGACGGTTCCGGGGTAAATCTAACCTGACTGTAAACTTGACCTTGTGACGATCAAAATCATCGTGATGATCAGAATCTTAATGGATAATGGTACACCACTGGCATCCTAGACGTTAATGCTAGGCCACAACGCGTCGTTGGTGATTGTTTCGTCAAGATGTGGTAGTTATTCGAAAGTTAGATGATTTCCTACAAAATGAGCTATAAATGGTCACAATCGGATCATTATTTCAAAGCTATACGCCACGACTCACCGAAACAGCTACCTCCACAATTCCAAGCCCAAATCATGGATCAGCGACAGCCGAAACTCACCATTTAAATTCGTTTATTAATTCCAGCCACGCTGACAGCACCTATGTAGGACAAGATTCGATCGGGCAGCCACATTCCCTACAAAACATTTTACCTGGTGAAATCTAACATTGATTGAGGAGAGGGTGGTTTCGTCGTTACATCCCTTTCCTTTATATATAGTACTAGGGTAGGGTCTATACACCTATATGTCTTTCTGACGCCCCATAGCTAGAATCTAGAAAATTGTTAACGCTCATACTTCGACCATGGTTATCGGCATTACGAAATGAGTCGTGTTTGTGCCATGGTTGCTTCTACGAATAAACCACAGTTCTTCGTTATTTTCGCGTTATATTTACCATGTAATTTTCCTTGAGGGTCATTTTATCCTGACAGTAAATTACATTGAGGTTTCGATAAGTTTGTTTGCAAAGATTGATGGTAATATATTTTACTATGAAAAATATGTGGTGTTGGGGCACCTTTTCCAAGTGTAAATTGTTTGTGCCGTGTAATTCGAATCAGAATATAAGCATATAAGGTTGCAAAATGAGTTACATGTAAGAGTTCTTCTTATTGTAACATAATGGAGATATAATGCCCGGAGAGTTATTGTTTCAGGCAGGCTAATTTGGTTCATGAGGAAGAAACTGATTGAGTGTCGCCAATCTGATTTCAGATAACCTACATCGTTTGACTTTGACAGGCAGTGATGGATGATAAAAAATCCTGAATCTTACCTTTCATCACACACGCATCCCAGGATGCTGCAGGCTACCTGTCTCTGCTCCTCTAGTGGGCCGTCACAGTCACTGGTCGCACAGTCCAGCAGCTCTCTGGTTCGCTTCTCGACCCCTCACGCCCTCTCACACGTCACCGAGCAGCTCCCAGGTTCCCAACACCCCAGGGGCCGTAGCAGCAGTCTGACAGGAGATAGAAGGGGATGACATAAAGCAGGTAGCATGGTCTGAATACACACATGTTGCACTCAAGGGAGGCCATAAGGTTTGGGCTTATCACGAGAGAGGAATACTAGTACTCGTACGCTTTGATGTTCCCCTGCCGACAAGGTAAACCGGAAACACAGAGGCAAATTAAACGTTCACCCGAAACGCGTTATGCGAAAACAAATCTTTGTTTCCATATTGCAGTGTGTGATCCGGAGCGACTCGTGTGTCAAGGTCAATGTGAATACAAATTAAGGGAGCACTTGTTGCTGTAAGGAGAGATCGGCATGTCATGACGGCAGGATGCATTTGGTTCTGTTTGTAAGGCGCTGAAATGTGAACACACACCCAGTAACTGGACCAAACAGTACGAAGACCAATTCGGTATTCTTGACAAGACTAGGGGAAACTCGGATTGTAACTTAAAATTTGCTAAACAATAAACGCATTTGGAAACACATTACAGCCTTTAGTGAAGAATGAAACATGACGTGTCACATGAAGAATGACAGCCAAATGTCTTTCAGGTAATTAGGAGTAAAGTAGGAAACGTAGACTGACGCTTAGAATCTGAATATATATATTTTTTGATAGTAACAACTAAATCCATTTAAATTAAAGAGGAGCCCCAGTGAGTTGGGAGATTCCCGAACCTGGGGAAATCTAGACTTGCTTCATTTAGAGCTTTAGCATTGCAGGGTGGGCTAGGCTGTAAGGAAAGTAATGTGGTTCAGGGACAGTGAGACAGATTACAGGAAATGTAACAGTTAAGGGTTTTGATCGGTAGTGCGTAATACACACACGATTTCTAAAGCATTTTTTCTCTCGATGGGGCATACTGGCGTAAGAGTCTCCAATAATGATTTGAGGCTCCACTCTCCTGCAGCGCCTCGCCGTGTTCAACATGCGTGATTGCCGGCCTGACGCTGTCTCACACGTCTCCCCTATCGTGTCAAGAACGAGTTCAGCTGGAGGAAAGGTCTGGGATCATTAATGGCAATATAATTCTGATGTTGAGCTTCTGGAAATGAGCATAGACCTACATCGTTCAACCCGGGCGGTGTGGCCCTTGAAGACAAAACGTCGAACCACACACCTCGCAAACGTGACAGCAAAAGGTGTCAGTATGTTGTTGTGTCCAGTGGCTCTTATATGGAGATGTCACCCATAACCTATCCACCGCTAAATCTGTCTCTTCTTTAGTCTCAGGTGACAATTGGATTGATCGCTCACTTCAGACGCCTCCAGACACAAAGTGAAAGGGAAAGGTTCGATGTCATCCACGTTTACCACGGCAACGTGACAATTTGTGAGGGGCGTCGCGAGCACACGGTCGTCGAGCATAGGGATGAATTGTAATACAATTCTTGTGCTTCGTACTTCAATAGCCTGGTGGTTATTTGCAGCGGTTTGATGCGTTTTATGAGCATCGATTTCGTAGAGTCTTTGCTACAACATTGTTCATCTTCTGAATAATCTAGTCTGGACCAGACAATCCAGTGATCAACAGCATGAACATCGATCTACGCATTTGGTATACCGCATGACATGTGTCAACCGGTCAGTCAGCCTGACCCGGAATCTCGATCCCGTCCGCTAGTCGCCCCTCTACCACAAGCATGGGTTACTGAAGACCAATCCTAACCCGATCTTCAATGGTTTAATTCCATTTGGGTATAAATATACTGAGTCAAAAAGAAACTTCACATTCTTTCTTCAGGGCACTATAAAAGAACAAGAGATTGTAAGATGGTTAAATTGTTATTATTTCATTGCTGAGATCTGTGTGATGTACTCGATACACTGACAGTGACATAATCAGTTCCATTAGGCTACACCGCCGTTCCAAAACATGGGTATACAGAATGTCAAGTCACAAGAATAAAAGTGCGAAATTTCTCAGTTCAATATCGTATGGCCGCCCCGCGGTATTCACCACTGCCAAACACCGTCCCTCATCGACTGCCTGATGCTTGTGAACATCGCGGGTTTGGGATTCTGCGCCATTGCTCTTGCAAGGCAGCCAAGTTCCTGTAAATTCTGAGATTGGTTCCTAAGATCACTCTAAGCCTTCCCAAGTGCATCCCAAAAGTGCTCTCTATTGGATTAAGGTCAGGGGAACCTCGATGGCCAGTCCATGACGTTGATTCCAGCGTTTTGAAGGAAATTTCGTGTCAACAGCCAGATATGGCGGTCGAGCATTATCATGTTGAACTGTAGGCCTGGGCCATGAGCCGCCATGAAAGGAACGTAGTTCAGGGTGAGCACCTGGTCAGCGTAAGCAGCAGCTGTGAGGTTTCCACGGATGACCAGAAGTCGGAACGGTTGTTCCCACAGAAAGCACCCCACACCATGCAACTTCCGCCTCGAATCTGTCGACT